TTCAAGGCTCAGGGGTCCAAGATTATCTTCTGTGTCTGTGTTAATTGGTTTCCCTTTTCTTTGTTGAAGAGGGTCTGTGTAGTCTTTCTGCCTAGTCCACCATCTTGTTGGAACTCTCCCACACAACTTTCTACAAACGTTTTTGAACTTTCAATTTTGAATATTTGTAAAATAAGTGTATTTCTGAATTCCTTCTTCTCTTGCAGTTAAGAAAAATCTAGCAACATTGGGAGCTCATTCCCAGAGCCATAACAACAACAACAGCAACTCCTTTTAGAAGGGTTTGTGATCTCCATTTCTCCTTGGCCTCTTGTTCCTGTGACATTGTTCTCATCCTGCTCCATCAATGTTCCTTATGGCTTGTTTAATGAGTTCTGAGAAACTAAAGAGGAGTGGGCATTTGATGAGGACGTAAAGGGTGGGGAGAAGGTCCAATAAGACTTGTCGTTTTTGGCCTTTAAGGTAGGGGGATGGATTAGTATTTCCCAAAGTGGAAAACTAGATGAGACTGAGTTTCTTTAATATATGACAAAGTGTTACAAAGTTAACACTTAGTCTTTAGGAGTTAAAAAGGAATACAATTCAAAAGATGGAAGGGTGGCAAGGAGAAATTTTTTACTTTGTTGTAGATGGGCTATAGTGGAATGGGTTTATGTTACTGAAGGCAAGATTTTAAACTAAACAATTAGAAGAAAATTGCTGAGAATATGAGTTACAACTCTGTTCTCACTGAACCTTCTTCATTGCCTCTTCCAAGAGAAAATTAAGAGGTATGGCTCCTTGTATTTTGTCTTGTGCCTGGTTGGAGGGTGTAATAGACCTGAATGACCTGTTAAACACAGCTATCACATTTGGGAGCTTTTTTTTTTTTTTTTTTAATATTTTTAAAACAGGAGGACTATTTTCTAGGAAGGCAATAAATGCACTTTGATTTTTTAAGCTCCCTTTCCTCTGAAACTATGAGTTCTTAGAAAAGAACACCCAAAGATTATTCAATGTAAGAATTTCTAAAGAAAGCTTTGGTTGAAGCATGCAGAGTAAGGTCACTTTTTATTTATTTATTTATTTTAATATATCCCCATACAAACATGCCATGCTGGAGGCACTCACTCAGCTGTGCCAAGAAATTTGGAAGACAACAACCTGTCCTACTGACTGGAAAAGATCCATATTTGTACCCATTCCAAAGAAAGGTGATCCCACAGAATGTGGAAATTATCGAACAATATCATTAATATCAAATGCAAGTAAAATCTAACTGAAGATAATTCAAAAATGGCTGCAGCAGTATATTGGCAGAGAACTTCCAGAAATGCAAGCTGGATTCAGAAGAGGACATGGAATGAGGGATATCAGTGCTGATATCAGATGGATCTTGGCTCAAAGCAAAGATTACTAGAAAGATGTTTACTTGTGTTTTATTGACTGCAAAAGCATTCAATTTTGTGGATCATAACGAATTGTGGATATCATTGAGAAGAATGGGAATCCCAGAACACTTAATTGTACTCATGAAGAACCATCAGGAATGGAGGAAGACCATTAACAACCTGCAATATGCAGATGACACAACTTTGTTTGCTAAAAGTGAGGATGACTTGAAGCACTAATGAAGATTGGAGACTATACAGTCTGCAGTATGGATTACACTTCAATATAAAGAGAACAAAAATCCTTGCAACTGGACTAATAAGTAGCATCATGATAAATGGACAAATGATTGAAGTTGTCAAAGACTTCACATTGCTTGGTTCTACAATCAACACCAAATGGAAGCAGCAGTCAAGATATCAGATGACGTATAGCATTGGGCAAGTATGCTGCGAAAGACCTGTTTCAAGTGCTGAAGAGCAAAGATATCTCCTTGAAGACTAAGGTGCATGTGACACAAGTGATGGTATTTTCAGACACCTCTTATACTTGTGAGAGCTGGACAATGAACAAGGAAGATTGAAGAGTTGATGCTTTTGAGTTGTGGTGCTGGCGAAGAATGCTGAAAGTACTATGGACTGCTGAAAGGACTAACAAATCTGTCCTGGAGGAAGTGCAGCTGGAATGCTCCTTGGAAGGGAGAGTGGCCAGACTTCATCTCACCTACTTTGGTCATGTTGTAAGAAGGGACCATTCCCTGGAGAAGGATATCATACTTTGTAAAGTGGAGGGTCAACAAAAAAGGGGAAGGCCCTCAACAAGATGGATTGACACAGTGGCTACAATGATGAGCTCAGGTATAGCAAAGATCGTGAGGCTGGCACAGGACTTGGCAGTGTTTCATTCTGCTGTACATAGGGTTGGTATGAGTTGGAGATAACTTGATGGCACTTAACAACGAAAACAACAAATGAGATCTGGGCCAAACAAGTAGAGTATCAGATATAGACAATGGAGATTAAAGAAAAAGAATGTGAACCTTTTTGTTGATACTCTGGTTGACATTAATGATATTTTCAGTTCTAACCAAAAGGGAAAGTAGAAAGTAGGTGTTCAGGTTAGATAAGTGGTTAATTGGAATCACTGTAGTAAATGTAAATAATGCAAAAAAATTCAAGACTATTAATCCAAGGGCAAAATTTGCCAAAGAAAGTACAGTGACAGAGGAGAGATATAAAGCAGAATCTCTTTTTTTGTGTGTGTACAAATTACATATTCATCTATGGAAATAAAAGTTTAAAATATGACTCATATATGAATATGTCATTTCCTGCTCTAAAGCTTTAGATGACTTCCCATTAACTGTAGAACAAAGTATAAATCCCTTAGTACAGACATTAAGGCCCTCTATTATCTGGCTCCGACCTACTTTCCTAGGCTGATAATTCCCTATCCTCTCTCCTCCCGCATCCATGAACCTCATGCTCCAGTCTCTTAGACTAATTGCTATTGACTGCAGCCTTTTCCTCTGATTTTCTCACATTGCTTTATCCACAGAGAATATTATTCCTACCTTGTTTGTCTCTTGATGTTTGATCTATCATTGAAAGCCACAACTCCATAAAGTCTCCTTCATTTTCCCAGGGAGGAACAGATCTCTTACATCTCTGAAGTCCCATAGCACTTGGCATATACTTCTGTTATAGTTCTTCTCTCATTCTGTTTTGTATTATTTTTGTACATGGTTTCCTCTTTCATTTTACTTTCTATATCATGTTCACATTTTATTCCACATAGTGCCCAAAACAATGTCCTGAAATTCAAATTGTTTAATGAGTGACTATTTAATTGACTTGTACTTCCAACATTTATTTTTATAAGCTAATATTTGATTGATTGGGTTATGATAACATTCCAAAATGTTGTGTGTATAACTTCTAACCTGTCTTTGTTAGTTACCATTGATTTGATTCCAACCCATGGTGTGATAGTTGGAGCTGTTCTGGCCACGGCCTCGGGTTACTTCGTCAGCATTGACGTGCACTCTGAGGAGTGCTTTTTTGAGTGGATCACCTCGGGCACCAAGATGGGCCTCATCTTCAAGGTGGTGGAGGGCAGTTTTCTGTACATCGACGTAGAGATCACAGGACCTGATAATAAAGGAATCTATAAAGGAGACCGAGAGTCCAGTGGAAATACACATTTGCTGCTCACATGGATGGAACATACAAGTTTTGTTTTAGCAATAGAATGTCCACCATGACTTCAAAGATAGTGATGTTCACCACTGATATTGGAGAGGCCCCGAAAGGACAAGACATGGAAACAGAAGCTCACCAGAACAAGCTAGAAGAAATGATTAAAGAGCTAGCAGTGGTCATGATAGCTGTAAAGCATGAACAGGAGTACATGGAAGTCCGGGAGAGAGTACACAGAGCAATCAATGACAACACAAACAGCAGAGTGGTCCTTTGGTCCTTCTTTGAAGCTCTTGTTCTAGTTGCCATGACATTGGGACAGATCTGCTACCTGAAGAGATTTTTTGAAGTCCGGAGGTTGTTTAAAAAGCCTTTTTCTGATGATCCCAAACTCGTAACTCACTGTTTACCAAATATCTTGGTCACAATAATGTCATTAGTTTCTACATTTTTATTTTCTGGCTGTACATTCACAGCTTATGTTTCTTTGTGATGAATAGATATTGGGGAGAAACACCTTTCTAAGAAAGTTGACGTTTGATTGGCATTAATTCCTTATTTGAATTCCACCTCCATCATATAGGTCCTTCTAGAACTCTGACCCCATTAATGAAATACAGGAGCATAGTCCTTGTGATACCTTCCTTTTTTCATAATCAAATGCAATTTGTTCAGGAAATCTGCACAAATCCGGAACAGAATGACTGAAATGACTGCTAATGGCCCAGACCCTTCAGGAATGAAGGTTTGGGTCACCCCACCAGGCAAAGAACCACAACCAGCTGAGGTGCTTTCTGAGGGCAAGGGAAATACAGAATGGGTGGTGGAAGAAGGTAGTTCTGAATATCAGCTACGACCATGTGACCAGTTGCAGAAACAAGGACTGTGATTGTT